TGTTCACACCTTCTGACCCAAAAAACCAAAACCAAACCCGTTGCCACTGAGTCGATTCCAACTCATAGTGACGCTATAGGACAGAGTGGAACCACCCCATAGGGTTTCCAAAGAGCAGCTGGTGGATTCAAACTGTTGACCTTTTTGTTAGCCGCCAAGCTCTTAACCACTGAGCCACCAGGGCTCCATCCTTTTGACCCAGTTATCCTGTTTATGGAAATATAGACTTAGAAAAACAAAATCAAAGGAGTACGTGTAAGCATGTTCTTGCCAATCATATGCATGACAGGAAATTTTTTTTTTTTTTAGTTTTAACTTAAAAAAAAATTTTTTTTCCCATACAAAAATTTATACATACATTGTCATGTGATCCTAATTGCTCTCCCCATACTGTGACAGCACACTCCTCCTTTCCACCCCTGATTCCCCATATCCATTCAACCAGCTCCTAACCCTCTCTGCCTTCCCATCTCATCTCTGGACAGAAGCTGCCTGTTTAGTCTCTTGTATCTACCTGAGCTAAGAGGCACACTCCTCACGAGTATCACTTTATGCCCCATAGTCCAGTCCAATCCCTGTCTGAAGAGTTGGCCTCGGAAATTGTTTTAGTTCTGGGCTGATACAGAATCCAGGGGCCATGCTTTCCGGGGTACCTCCAGTCTCAGTCAGACCGTTAAGTCTGCTCTTCTTACTAGAATTTGAGTTCTGCATAACAGTAAAAATTTTTAATAAAACAATAAAATATTTAACAGTAAAAGATTGGTTGATTACTAAGCAGCCATTAAAAATAGTATTTCTAGAGAATATATAATGAAATGGAAAACTATTAAATGAAAAAGTTATAAAATAGAATATACCAAATACACAGTGTGATCCAATATGGCAAAAAAATTATTGTATTTATATACGGAAAAAACGCTAAAAGGAAACTGATCAAAATGTCAATAGCAGTTACCTTTGAGCAATAGAATTACAGTTGATTTTTATTTTCATCTTTATTATTTCTTCAATAACCTACAATGAGTTTTCTTCAATTACTTTTCTAATCAGAAAACAAAAACAAACCAAGAAATGTTCTTTTTTTTTTTTTTTTAAAGAAGGGAAATGGATGTTATAGCTTCCCCTCAGCAAAACAGACTTTCTCAAACTTTAAGGTATATCAGAATCATCTAGATGGCTTGTGAAAACAGATTAATGCCTCAGCCCCTCCCTCCCATTCAGTAAGTCTGGGTGGGGCCTGAGAAATTTGCATTTCTAACAAGTTCCATTGGGCTAAAAGATGGAAACATAGTATGGCACCGTTGTGCAGTGAAAATGATGAGGGCTGGTAGCCCATCCTTTGACTCTGGCTCTGTCCTTTGCGTCTAGCAATAGTTAACATACTTCCTCTTAGCCTCTGTTTCCACACTAATGCATACCTCATAGGCATATTGTGAAGGTTAAGGATATTATACAAACATCCAACACAATGTCTACCGTACTTAACTAAGGTCCTTAATCAATGTTGGTTCCTTTCCCTGAAAGATGCAGCACACATTTGCTATAATTGGGTTTATTGTGACATGATTTAGCTGCCCCACGGGTCAAATCATTTCCACCAAACCTACCAACCATGCATGTCCTTCTGTTACTAACAAAATTCACTGAACCATTGATAAAATTGGGATAATAGTATAATTGTATCAATGATAATGGTATCTGCTTTGCAGAGATGCCATGAGGATTAAACAAGATGATATGCTAAGCACTTAATACAGTAACTGGCATATGGAAGATACATAGTAAACGTCAGTTTCCTTTTGCCTTCTCTTTAAATGGGTATTTCTCTATACTGTCTCCTAGATCTGATTAAAAAGCTCACCTAGTCTTCTAGTTGCTGTCAAGTCAATTCCAACTCATGGTGACCCCACGTATTAAGAGCTGAACTTGCTCCATGAGGTTTTCAATGGCTGGAGATCGCCAGACCTTTCTTCCTAGGTACCTCTGGGCAGGCTTCAACCTCCAACTTTCAGTTACCAGCCAAGCATGTTAACATTTCACACCACCCAGGGATTCCTCACCTAGTCTAAACCAAAAAGATACCAAACCTATTGCTGTCGGGTCGATTCTGACTCGTAGCGATCCTATAAATCAATCTTTCCACCTCAATCAGACTGCTCTCTTCAGGGTCATATTAAATTTGAAGTCATTTATTTGGCTTATTTAAGTACTGAGAAGGACACACATGATATAAACTATTGTATTGGATGTTCAAAGAGATAAGCAGAAGACTGTTCCCTGCGTTTGAAGTAGTTGGTTGAGGTGACAATATACATGAAAAACTGAATAGAAATGCAAAGTAGGTGGGATAAATTATACAGAAAGGAAGTATGTTAAGAGTTTCGAGATTTTAGTGGGTTAACCTGTGGTTATTTTGCCCTCAGAAACCACAGAATTACTGAAAGTTGGCTGAGAAAATAGGCCCAGAGATCTCAGTGGTATAGGGTCACAACTACAGAGTAGCAGAGGTTTACTGTCTCCTAGTCCCATATATTTTTAATTATTCCCATATCTGTTCATCATTTTATGTTTTCTAAGACAGTTTAGTGCAGTCAGTTAAGCACTGGGCTCCGAAGCCAAAATATTTGGGTTTGAATCCTGCCCATGCCACTTACTATCTGTGTGACTTTGGGCAAGTCATTTATCTCTGTGCTTGTTTAAAATGGGTATAATAATCGTGTCTTACTTCATAGGGTTGTATTGAGGATTCAGTAACTTAATATATGTTATGCCCTTAAAAACTGTGGGTTTGCCATGATAATTGCTATTAGTCGCTGAGAGAATGGAAGGTAAGGAGTCTAACAACAACGACAAAACTCATTGCCGTGGAGTCGATTCTGACTCATAGCGACCCTGTAGGACAGAGAAGAATTGCCCCATAGGGTTTGCAAGGAGAGGCTGGTGGATTCGAACTGCCGCCGACCTGTTGGTTAGCAGCCGAGCTCTTTAACCACTTCACCACCATCTTCTATTTTTTTCTATTCTTTTTTTTCCCATCTCCCTTAGATTATGATCAAGGCAGCCAGGTTCAGTAAATACATTTAGCTATCTCAACCAATCCCGGTGAAGAAAAATTTTTGTATCTCAGAAGTGAGACTTGGGATTTGTGTAAACCTAGCCTAGTCTGGAAACAGTCAAGTCTAGAAAAGTGAAAACTGAGATGGCAACAGGTTCTAGGACCCAACAGAGTTTCTTTCTTCCTTTTTTTAAAGTCAGTCAAGATCAATGGGTGCTGAGAAAAACAGAGGACAGTGAATCAAATTCCAAATGAGCTTTCCCATTTATTTTAATCTAGCCCAAACTTCCTTAAACAGTGCCTCGCCTTTTGAGGAAAGTGCATGCCTCAGTGGGTTTGCTTTCTGGGGACGTTTTAGTAGGTGCTACATTTCACTCTGTAGCTGGCTGCATGGGCTTGTGAACATGGGCGACAACATTGATTGCTTTCGGAAGAAAAGAAGCTGTCTCTACATAGGAAGTGTAATTGCAGTGGCACTATTCGAAACTCAATTAAAAAGGAGAAGTCGCCGCCACAGCCGCGCTATCCTAGCCACAGCTCAGCTCAAATTCAGATTAGAGAAAGTAAGAACCATTTCCCTCCCCCGGACACTCCTGTCAACTCTCCTCAAATGACTGTGAAAAAAATCCTGAGGCGAGTTAAAAGCGAGAGGGTTGTCGCAGAATTAGACAGCGGGAAGAGCGAGAGGGCGAAGGTGAAAAATACCCTATATTCAGGGGTTAGAAAAATCATGGTTTTTTTTTTTGTTGTTGTTGCAGGGTTTGGGTACTACCTCTGGCGTCATTTATCAGGAGATCTAGGGATGGAGAAGAGGACCAACAGGCCTTCCAAATCTTCCGCGTTTGGCAGAGGCAAATCACATTGTCCACCCCCATTCGCTGCTCTCAGGCGATATCAGGGTAAAATAAGCATCAAGGGGGATCTTGAAGTGAAAAAGAATTAAAAGAAGGTCAGCCTAGGGTTCTTGTGTGGGAGGGTATCAGTGAAGGTCAGAACCACCCAGAACGTCAGCAAAGGCAGAAGAATTAAGGGTCACCACCGGCAGGTGAGCCCCAAAGTTTGGTGCGGAGCTGACAGACCGTGTCTCCCTAGGGTCTGCCTTGCACACAACCTTTAGCAGATTCACGGTGGGAGTCTCGCCTGTAAGTTCCCGGACGAGACACTGTCTCACTGAGCGTTCTCACAGCGCCTCGCTCAAAGCCAACTCATGAGCCGGTTCTCAATAACATCTGGGAGCAAAAGCTTTGAAGACTAAAGGCAGCAGGGCACCAGTTTTATTTAAGGTTCGCGTTCCCGTGTGGCCTGAGGACCAACTGTCAGCAAAATTTTCCCGGTCGCCTTCTCTCTTCCACCTTCTGCCCAAATGAAGTCGAAAAGATCCGCACGACGGGCAAGGGGCTAAGCGGTTAAGGCAGCCGCGTCCTTCAGGTGTCAGCCTCGAACCGTTGGGAAACCACAACCCCCAGAATCCCTTGTGCCAAGAGGTCAAGCCGCAAATAAGATGGCTCCAGAAGGGTGGACCATGCAGCAGGAGAGAAACTCTAATACCAGGCAGTGTGTTTACTGGATGTGTTTGAATAACCAAATCCCCACAAATGCAACACCCAACTAACCACCTTCGGGGCGTGGAGGCCCCGCCTGTCGCCTCCTCCCCGCTCCTCCAGGGGCATCCTGGGAGTTGTAGGCCAGCCGCTGGGCTGCGCCGAACTACCCTTCCCAGGGTACCCTGCAAGTCGGGAGATTGCAGTGTTGTTTTCCAAAACTCTGTCCGCACCGAGACCGCCTTTTCCCTGTTCCCTACTTCCATCAGTCCACTGCTTCTTGTCCGTCGCGACAAAGCAGCGGTCGCAGTGGAGGCCCCTGCGCCTCGCCGTGCCGCCCCGAGGGGCACTTCCGGCACGATTCACTTCCTGGTTGGGTGGATGGAGCCGGGCGGGAGCGCGCGCGGGGGAGGGGCGGAGGGTCAGTCTCCGCCGGGCGCTCCCGGGGATCAGCTGGCGGGCGAGTGGGCGCCGTACGCGGCCCCTGCTCTTGCTGCAGCGCCGCCTCCTCTCCGCGTCGCAGGTCGGCCCGGCAGCTGTGACAATGTTGCGGAGCTGGTAGCTGGGCGCCGGCCGCCGAGCTCTCTCAAGTGGGTGCCGCCGGGATGCTGCCGCGCGGGCGGCGGGGAGGACCGGGAGGAGGGGGAAGCAGTGCCCAGCTGCGTTGGTGCTGCCCACGGCGGGCCGAATCCCCTCTTTTTTCGAGCCCCGGGGACGCATTTTCAGCCCGAGAGGATTTTCTCGCCAAGAAAATGCGTGAAGCGTTTCCCCAGGATGATGGCTTTTTCCCACCCCCCCCTTCCCAGGACCGAGCAGTTGAATTTTTAAGCGTGTTACTGATTCATCCTCTTTCTTCCTCTGTCATCACAGGTTTAAACTTACACGAATCGCTCTCCTGAGGAGGAGGGGACCCGCCGCGCGATTGACACGCATATTCCTATAGGCATCCTTCCTCAGCCGCCACCCCCACGGCCGGATTCGGGTGGCTCTTCTCGGAGCTGAAATCTGAGAAGAAATCCTTGGGTCTCCTTTCTTCCTTTTTTTTTTTTTTAAATCTAGAAACTATCGGTATTTTGCTTTGCTGCTTCCTTTTTGCAAGATGAAGAAGTTTTTCGACTCCCGGCGTGAGCAGGGCGGCTCTGGCCTGGGCTCCGGCTCCAGCGGAGGAGGGGGCAGCACTTCGGGCCTGGGCAGTGGCTACATCGGAAGGGTCTTTGGCATCGGGCGACAGCAGGTCACTGTGGACGAGGTGTTGGCGGAAGGTACGGTGGGTCTCTTTCAGAGCTCCGTAAATTAAAATCGTGTGCTGATGCGGCAGGACTCTGGTTGTCTAGTTGTTGGTTGTATGAATGGGTTTTGACCAGTTGACCTCCCTTCCCCCTTCCCTTGTCCTGTGATTCATTGTCCTTGAGAGATTTAAAACTGAGATCTGAAAGTGACAGGGCTTATGGGGATGGAGGAAGATTGCCAGAAATTGTTTAACTCAGTGACCTTTTATTAAAAAAAAAAAACAGTAAACAATGTTGAGAAGCTATCCTTGTCTGCCTTGCCGAATTATGAGGATCAGAGGAGAAAACGTATGTGTGAAAGTATAAAGCTTTACATCAAATGCAGGGTAGTGCGGTTGTCATCCTTCTAAAACTTGAAATATTGATGTGAAGGCTGAAGGGTGGGATGGGGGACCTCTAAGGAGAGAGAGGAATTTGTTTCTCCTTTTCCTAACCAACTTTCCCACTTCCATGAGCAAGCATTGGAAGAAAAAGGACTTTCAGAGAATGGGAATGTGGCTTTCCAAGAGCCAGGACTCTCGGTGGATTTGTCTAGGTTTGTTTCCTGACTCAACTGTAATTAGGTCCCGAGAACATAGCTAAGGTAACAAAAATAATGTGAAATCGATGTGGTTATTCTGAATTCAGTCTAGTAGGCCCCTCTTCCTCCTGTTTTATTTATTTATAACCAAAAGAAGAATTACTTTAAAGCTAAAACTGGGTGGCTCTGATTTTGTTTTTCCTCAGAGAGGATGTTATTTAGATCTGCTGGGTAAATTCCCTACCTGTGTATGCATCTGTATGGGTATAAATAAGAAGATATATGTCTTTATCCCCTAGGCTTTAGGGAAATCTTTGCATGTCTCTTTTGATAACCTTAACCTCAACCTTCATAATTATGCCAGCCTCATACTTTTCACAGCCCATTGCCTGCTTAGTGTGCTTTTATTTTTAATAAAAGCAGCAATTTTCTTGGCATGAAGCTATTCAAACTAATTGGGTAGGGCCAACCTGCTGTAGGTTGTTATAGACTGAGAAGGGTTGGGGAGAAACAGTTGATTAGGGAGGAGGAGAGAAAGCTTAGAGGCCCCTTAAAAAGGAGCCTTTTGCAAGCTAAGGTTGAAGCCAGAGTCCCGACCTGGGCCTGGGAAGTGCCTGTCATGGTGAGTGTTGCAGGCTGGTGGATTGGGAGGAGGAGGAAGCTGTTTGGCTCTCAGCTTGTGTAAGCGGTGGATTCAGCAGGCCCGGGTTCTCTGGGGTTAGGGTTGAAGCCTGTACTTTAAAAAGACTGTTTTTAAAAAGATATCTGACAATCATGCCTTTGTGAAATTGTTGCTCTTTTCCATTTTCTGTACTGCTCTAGCTGGACTTAATCCGGGGCCTGGGTCACTGTCTCTGTGGATCCTTCCTGTGGGCTTTGGTGCAGGATGGGAGATGCTTCTGTGCCTGCTGCCAGATCCGCACCCTTGAGTCTGATGTGTCTGCAGTGGGATGGAGAAGTGGAAGAGTGTGTGTGTGCAGGAGAAATCGGGAAGAGTGAGGGGGTGCAGCACTCTTTCCTCCTTCCTGAATGGCCTCTGCTGATCTCATAGCCCAGGAGCATTTTGTTCATCCAGGATATTGTCTCATTACAGATGATGCTATCCTAAGCAATGCCTGTACTCAGCGATGGGGAAAGAAAAGGCAAAATTGGTCTTTGTTATCTAGGCTACCCTCCTCTTCCCCAAGATTCATCCTTGAGAATTGCTACATCACGCATTATGGTATTTTGATGTGTAAGTTAGGGCCTATAGCTCTGCATTCATTCGTTTATATATTCATTCAACAAACAGTTACAGAGTGCCTGTGATGTGCCAGGCACTGTGCTAGGCTATGGGGATATGTCATTAAACTAGATGTTGGAGTTTACAAACTCCTTTGACGGATGGAAAACAGTGAGTTATAACTGAGTGGTAAGTGTTGTCATGGAGATAGCTTAGGGTGCAGTAGCCCCCTGTTTAGGGAGCTAAGATTGCTTCCTGGAGGAAGTGTTCTAAATAGAGACTTGAAGAATGAATAGGAGTTAGCTAGGTGTGGTGACAGCATGGGCAAAGACTCAGCGTAGCAAGAGAGAATATGATGTATTTGGGGAAATTGATAGATTTACATTTTTCTTTTTTAAAGTTGCAGTTCCACAGAGGTGAGGTTAGATTTTAACCTCTGTTTGTAGAGACAGGGAAAAAGGTGTAACTGGCCTTGAACTTTCTCCAACTGGATGTAGAAACTGGGTCTGGTAGTGTTGTTCGGTTAAAATTGAGTTTGAGTTTGTGGCTCTTAGAAGTATGTATGTATGTAGGAACCAATATAGAAAGTATGTAGCACTTACCAAGTACAAAGGCATGACTAGGTTCTGAGAGGAGTATAGGGCGATCTACTGTGTGGTGGCTGCCTTTAAGTAGCTGGTGGTGAATTTGGGAAGACCAGGCATACGTTCCCACATCGAGTAGCATGGTTACGGTAGTTGGCTATAGAGTCAGACAGGTATAGGTTCAGATTATGGTTCTTCTCTTTACCAGCTGTGGAACCTTGGACAAGACCCTTCAAGCCTCCCTGGAATCTTTATTTTCATATGGCAGTAGTTCTGACAGAGTGGAACCAGGACGGGAGCATGAGCATTGCCTGGGCGCTTGTTAGAAATGCAAATTTTCAGGCCTCATCCCAGAAACTGTGGGTGTGGGGCTTTAACAAGTTCCTAGAGAGACTCTGATGCAAGCTAAAGCTTAAGAACCACCGCCCTATGGGGTGGTCTTAAAGATTAAATGAGACAATGTATATAAAAGGAAACATTTCTCAGGTGTTCAACAAATAGTAGCCATTATTTACCTTACATCATACATACAGTTAGGAGGGAGTGAGGGGGTAATATGAAGGCTGGTTTGGCAGAACTGAGGCAATCCCTTTCCCCCATGGTGGGTGGGCAGAGCCAGATACTCTTTGAAGAGGCCTCACCAGCTCCTTAAAGGATCAGCAGATATTTTGTGTAGCCATGCTCCTTTCCTGGACCCTGTTTTCTGTGGGTTCACAGGTGCTGACCTTTCCACCAGTCCAGAGTTGTCTAAGGACAGTGAGCATTATGCCCCACATGGCCAGGCAGTGCAGGGAGGGATGAGGAGTAGGACTTCCAACACAGATCTGATTGCTACCACATCCCACTGATGATCCCTTTTTCCCTAATGTGGGTATTGGTCTATGCTTTATAGTGAGGAATTGCAGGGGCCCTAAGGAGCAGGCGCTGGAGCTGGCAGGAGACTGCTGGGCAGCCATCTCTCCAGCAACAGCTCCAGCACTGCTGGCCTGGTTTCACTAACTTGCCCAGCAGTAGCTTGTTGGCCTGGGGGAAGTGGAGGCTCTAAGTCAGGAGTTTAGAGGGATATGGCTGTCTCTCAGCTGGGTGCAGGGGAGGGTATTTTCTCTCTAGCTTTCTCAGGGAAGATGTGATGAGGTGCTAAGTCATGTTGGAGTTAATGGGTATGTGATGTGACGGGAAGATTTGGTTTGAACTTTCAGAATGAGTTCAATGGGAAAATCAGAGCAATGCTCCAAGAAACACTGAGAATCTGTGTTTTCATCAGAGCTTCTTAGCTAAATGAAGCCTTCCATCTAAGCTCTAAACAGTAAATAGTAAAAATAAAAATACAGCATTCCAGAACTGCATCAATTCTATATAAGGTGGACAAGGTGACCCCTCAGAACAGTTTTCTAACCTATACTAAAGGAATCCAGGCCTAGGGCTAATGAGGGTTACTGAGTAAGTCTCCATATCAGTAAACTTCTCACACACACACACACGCACACACGCACACACGCACGCGCGCACATGAATCCTGATGGCGCAGTAGTTAGGCATTCGGCTGCTAACCGAAAAAGGTCAGCAGTTCAAATCCACCAGCTGCTCCTTTGCAACCCTATGGGGCAGCTCTACTGTGTTCTATAGGGTCGCTATGGGTAGGAGTCAACCCGACGGCAATGGGTTTGGTTTTTGGGACATATATATATGTAAGTGTGTGTGTATATATACATATATATGGCATTGGTGGCATCACTATGATGCATGTATTCATTTAGCGAATGTTTATTAGTGCTTTCTTTGTGGCAAGCACTATATTACGTTCCAGAGATACAAAGATCAAAGATAAATGGGACATGGGCCGGAGCTCATGTGTTGTTGAGTTGGCCCCTACTGATGGCAGCTCCACGCACAATGGGATCAGACCTTTGTGATCTGCAGGCTAATTTTTGGAAGTAGATCGCCAGGCCTTTCTTCCTGATCTGTCTCAGTCTGGAAGCTCAGTTGAAACCTGTTCAGCATCATCATAACACAGCAAGCCGCCACAGATAGATGGGTGGTGGCTGTGCTTGAGGTGCATTGGCCAGGAATCAAACCTCCATCTCCTGCTTGGAAGGCAAGAATTCTACTGCTGAACTTCCACCGCCCTCAAGGAGCTCTTATTGTTGTTGTTGTTAGTTGCTGTCGACCTGGAAGCAGAGCTCCAGGCCTGTCTTCTGAGGCACCTCTGGGTGGGTTCAAACCGCCAGCCTTTCAGCTAGGTATTTGAGTGCTTAACCGTTTCCACCACCCAGGGAGCCAGAGAGCTCATAGACCAACAAATAGCTGTGAGATAAGTGTCCAGCACTTAGCATGGCCCTTGGTATGTAGTTGATGGTTAATAGATACTCATTAAAAAGATGTTATGAGATGATAAAGAGAAAGGGCCCCGGGGTGAAGGTTTATAGATGAAGTGCAGTTTGAACAGGAATAGAAATTACCCGGCAGATATTCCAAGTGAGGGTTACCCAAGGCCTGCCAGGCAGAAAGAATAGCACATTCAGAGGTGAGGAGTGATGAAACAGTATGATGAGTTCTGATAATACCGACTAGTCTAGTGTTATCATTCCGGTTCCTACAAGCTTCCCACTGCAGAATCAAGGAAAGAAGACCCTGGAGTAGTAGAATA